TCAAAAAGGGAATTTTTTTCAGTCTTTTGAGTTGCACTAGTCTATTGAGCGCACAGTACAGGGAGAGTAGACAATTCTCCAGCATTACACCTTTCTGACTAAAGGTTGGAAACGCTTAGATCATCTCCTAGATTATAAGCCTGTTTGTACAGTTGACTTAGTTGGTTACCAGAAGTTTCTTACACAGGAGAAGGTTTTCAAGTTTTTGGAAGGCTTCAATGTGGAGTTTGATCCAGTTTGGAGTCGTGTCCTTGGCTTGGATGTTCTTCCATCTCTTCAAGAGGCCTTTGCATATGGACAAAATAAGGAGAGTCGTCGTTCTGTTGTGTTACCACCAGCTACTGGAGACCGTTCAGCATTACTTTCTGCTCCTCGAGAGATGGGACTGGTTTGTCACTACCCCTTTCCCATTCTTCAGGGAACGATACTGTGTTCTGTGATTATTGAAGCAAGCCGCGGCATACTCATGAGACGTGTTGGAAGCTTCATGGGGCTCCATCAGGGAGTCGGGGTGATCGGTCTGGTACTAGAGGTGGTCGATCAGGCAGTCTAGAGGACGTGGCTCTAATCCAAGGGCCCATCAGTCTAGTGCTCTTGACACCCTTGATTCTACTTCTGCTTCAGTTGGTCCGACTTCTGATAGTTTATCTAACATGACTTCTAATGAGCTTGAGGATGTTCTGTGTCATTTGCTGGCCCGCTGGTCTTCTACTATTCCCAGTGCATCTTCCTCATCGTTTGCCCGCCCAAGTAACTTAGCCTCTTCTCCTAATGCTTTTCTTTCCCATAAGTCTTTGCCATGGATTATTGATTCTGGTGCCTCAAATTATATGTCTGGGTCTTCTGACCTTTTCTCAGTATATAAGCCCTCTTCAAGTCAAGACAGTTAGGATTGCAGATGGTACTATTTTTTTTATCTCTGGGAAAGGTTCAATTCATGTCACCCCTACCTTACCTCTGTCTTCAATGCTCCATGTTCCCAATTTTTCTGTTAATCTCCTATCCTTGAGTCGCATTACTAAGGATTTGAACTATAGTGTGACATTTGTTTCCTAATCATTGTCTTTTTCAGGATCTTGTCACGAGAAGGACGATTGGCAGTGGTAGTACAGAAAATGGTCTCTATTTCTTAGATCAGCCGAACAAGCTTGCTCCTCATTCCATCTTGTTCCCAACCACTAAGGAGGATTTATGACTGACATCGGCGTCTTGGGCATCCTTCTTTTCATTTGGTTAGGCATTTATTTCCATCTGTTTTTACAAATAATAATGTGTCTTAAGTTTCTTTGTGAATCTTATTAACTTGGCAAACAACATTGAACTTCTTTTGCTCAAAGTCTTAATAAAAGTTTAGTTGCTTTTTCTTTAATACATTCTGATGGGTGGGGTCCATCTCGTGTTATGTCTTTAAAAGGCCATAGATGGTTTGTTATCTTTATCGATGATTTTTCTCGTACTATTTGGGTGTATCTCATGGAAGAAAAAAGTGAGATTTTCTCTGTATTTCAAAATTTTCATAAAATGATTTGTACTCAGTTTGGGGCAATTGTCAAAATCTTGCATTCTGGTAATGGGGATGAATACATCGATTCAGAGTTAGAGAGCTATTTTTCCACTCATCTCATTATACATCAGACATCTTGCACCAATACTCCTCAACAAAATAGGGTTTTAGAATGCAAGAATCGTCATCTTCTTAATATAGCTCGCTGCATGTGTTTTTCGATGAGGGTGCCTCAGTCCTACTGGGGTGAGGCCGTTCTCACCGCAGCCTATCTCATTAACCGTCTTCCTACCTAGGTTTTGCAAAAGCAAGCTCGACTTCAAGTCCTTCTCGATTCAGAGTCTTTGTTTTCCATTTTCCTTAAAATATTTGGTTGTGTCTGTTTTATCCACAATCATTCTCCTACTCATGGTAAGTTGGACCCTCACTCTCTCAAGTGTGTTTTCCTCAGATTCTTGCCAACTTAAAAGGGGTATAGGTGTTATCACCCTTCTTCTCGTAATTGCTTTGTGTCCATGGATGTCACCTTTTTTAAGTCTCAGTCTTATTTCTTGTCTTCTTGTCTTCTCCGGTATCACAGTCATCCCTTCAGAGGGAGCCTTGGTGTAAAGAGATTCCTGTTGTCCATGTTGCTCCTATGGTGGAACCAATCGTACCTGCACTACTATTACTGGGACTATAGAATCCAATGCCACCAAGGACAGGGAAGGGCAAGTTTATGTCAGGGACAAAGACAGACAGAAAGTTACTTGAATACAAGAGACAACTTCTGTTCACCCACTGCCATCTCTTGCTTCTGATAAGAGTCGAAGTAACTTTGAATCTCTTGTTTCTCTGGAGTCTACTGATATTGCTATTCCTGACACTACTGATCTTGATATTCATATTGCCAAGAGAAAGGGTGTGACATCCTATACTCAATATTCTATCTCAAACTTTGTGTCATACTCTCACTTGTCTTCCTCTTATAGGGCCTTTGTATCAAACATTTCCGCTGTTAATATTCCTAACCATTTTCAAGATGCTTTCACTACCTCTGAATGGAAACTTGTTATGACTGAGGAAATGAAAGCACTTCGTAAGAATGACACTTGGGAATTAACTGAGTTAGCTAAGGGCAAACGATCGGTAGGATACAATTGGGTGTATACTGTGAAGCACAAAGTAAATGGTTCCATTGAGCGTTAGAAGGCTCAACTTGTGGTAAAAGTTCACTCAAACTTATGGAGTAGACTATCAAGAGACGTTTGCACCAGTGGCTAAGATGAATTCAGTCATAATACTTCTTTCTCTAGCAGCTAATTTAGATTCGCTTCATCAGTTTGATGTAAAGAATGCTTTCTCACATGGTGATCTAAAAGAAGAGGTATATATGGACATCCTCCTGGTTTTTAGGATCATCAGACAGAGGGTAAAGTATGCAGGCTTCGAAAGTCCTTATATGGTCTCACATAGTCTCTAAGGGCTTAGTTTGAGAGATTCACTCAGGCTATGCTTAAATATGATTTCAAACAGAGTCAGGCAGATCACACTTTGTTTGTGAAACATTCATCATGTGGTAAGACTACAGCTCTCATTATTTGTGGATGACATAGTGCTTACAGGCGATGATAGTGAGGAAATATCCCTGTTGAAGAAATATTTAACTAGTGAGTTTGAAATCAAAGACTTAACTTGAAATATTTTTTGGGAATTGAAGTTGCTTGCTCCAAGGATGGGATTTTCATCTCATAAAGGCGATATGTTCTTGACCTTTTGAAGGAAATAGGGATGCATGTTGACATTGATCATCACTTTATCAAGGAGAAACTCACCAGCAGAATGATATGTACCCTTTTTGTGAAGTCAGGCAAACAACTTGCAGACATCCTCACCAAGGGAGTTAGGAGCGACCATTTCATGACATTCTAGACAAGCTGGGCATGCGAGATATCTTCGCACCAACTTGAGAGAGGGGGGGGGGAGGAGTGTTAGAATATTTCATTGTTTCCTTATTTAGATTAGATTGTGATTGATTGATTGATTGTGATTTCTTAATCAGTCAGTCAATCAATCAATCAATATAAAAGGTGATTCCTTAATCAGTGCCTTGGGCCTTCTTTTTGTAACAGCTGATTGATTAATATAAAAAGTAATGATATCATAATCATCCCCCAAGCTTTGTATTCTCTTAAATTACATGACCAACTATGAAACAAGGATACCTCTTCGAAAGTCATGTCTAGGTGTCCGACACGTATTGGACACACTCCAGACACGTATTTGACACACTGGGGACACGTTAAGGACACACTGAGGACTATTTTTTTCAAAAAAACAAAATTAAATTTTTTTTTTATTTTTACTAAAATAGCATACTTAAGGTTGATAAATTTGATAAAATTAAATATTTGATATAAAATACAAATTAAATACTCAAAAATATGACATATAATAAATACATAAAATTATACGTTTTGCATGTGTCCTCCAACGTGTCCTGTTAAAATCCACCTACTCTCTACATACTTCACCTACTCCTTACCTACTACACACTCACCCTCTTCTATATATAGGAATCATGAATAGCTAGTGAGTTTGAAATCAAAGACTTAACTTGAAATATTTTTTGGGAATTGAAGTTGCTTGCTCCAAGGATGGGATTTTCATCTCATAAAGGTGATATGTTCTTGACCTTTTGAAGGAAATAGGGATGCATGTTGACATTGATCATCACTTCATCAAGGAGAAACTCACCAGCAGAATGATATGTACCCCTTTTGTGAAGTCAGGCAAACAACTTGCAGACATCCTCACCAAGGGAGTTGGGAGCAAACCATTTCATGACATTCTAGACAAGCTGGGCATGCGAGATATTTTCACACCAGCTTGAGGGGGGAGGAGTGTTAGAATATTTCATTGTTTCCTTATTTAGATTAGATTGTGATTGATTGATTGATTGATTGTGATTCCTTAATCAATCAGTCAATCAATCAATCAATATAAAAGGTGATTCCTTAATCAGTGCCTTAGGCCTTCCTTTTGTAACAATTGATTGATTAATATAAAAGGTGATGATATCATAATCATCCCCCAAGCTTTGTATTCTCTTAAATTACATGACCAACTATGAAGCAAGGATACCTCTCCAGAAGTCATGTCCAGGTGTCCGACACGTATTGGACACACTAGGGATACGTTAAGGACACACTGAGGACTATTTTTTTCAAAAAAACAAAATTTTTATTTTTATTTATTTTTACTAAAATAGCATACTTAAGGTTGATAAATTTGATAAAATTAAATATTTGACATAAAATGCAAATTAAATACTCAAAAATATGACATATAATAAATATATAAAATTATACGTTTTGCATGTGTCCTCCAACGTGTCCTGTCCTATATTTTTTGAAAATTTGTCTGTGTCGTGTCATGTGTCCGTTCTTCTTAGATGACCAATCCCTTGATTCCATAAATATGCTTTTATCAAGGAGCAAAGTAACAATGAAGGTACCCTGGGAGTGTAACAAGATTTGCTTCATATGGAGCCCATTGTTTGAAAACTTCAAGTGAAAAACCACCACTGATCATCCCTGGTGTGGCGAAGAGAACACAAGGTCCAGGAGCATTTATCAAGGAACGATCGAAATTGGAAACTGAAACATCCAGGTGACAAAGATTGAGGGAACCAGTAAAACAGTAATAGGAATCAGTTCCCATATAAAAAATATTAAACGTCAATTTAAAACTCAATACCAATTATTTTAGGCGATGTTCAGTTGACTTCAAATTTAATTGCAAATAATTTAAAATGATAAGACCGCACCATTTAAGTACAAGTCCCTGCCCACCCAAGTGTGTTCAACAAAAGAGATGAAGCTTTTTTTTTTGACACAAAAATAGATAGGAAACTCCTCAAAGTGAGGCAAATTTGAGCCCATAGCATAAAAGCATAATTAAAAGATAGAAAGGAAAAAGAAAAAAGAAAGAAAGAGAAAAAGGAGAGATAAGAGAGCAAAGTTCTTTCAAATAATGATTGGAAATTTGGAATACTAATTTATCTCAATGTGTAATTATGTTTCCCCACAGTAACACACTGAACTCTAAACATAAGTTTTTTGAAAATAAAAAAATTATCACTTTAGAGAAAATGTTGAGACCAAAATTTGTTCTTAACCCTTACAACTCCCAAAATTAATGTCATTTGTTTCTACAACTTTTACAAAAATCTTAAATTTTTTGAAGTTATTAGGTGTCCAAGTTACAATGTTCCTCGTCAGACATATTCTAATATTTTTGAAATATAAATCATAAAAACATATAATAATAAAAAATAAAAAACAATTTAGCATACTCCTATAATTAAGTGAGATTCACAAGAAACCAAACAAACCATCTGGCACTGTCAAATGAAAAACTAGAATTGTAGACTTACCATTTTTAAAATCGAATGCATTGCGAGTAGCATATGTATCTTTCACCTTTTGACTAGTCCAGTTGATGAGCATTTTATAATACATATTAGCTTGAATGGTCAAACCTGAAAGAGAAATATCATCCAAAATGAGGAACACCAGTAAAGCATGATAAATAAAGAATATTCTAATGCAAATAAATAACACTATTTTAATGGTTAAGACTAAATTAAAATGCTATGCTATCGCAAAACCAAAACAATCGATACTCTGCCATAAAAATGACCTAAAAAATCTCTCAATAGTTTAATCTTATTGAGCAAGGAACCCGTCATAATTCAGCATGCTCCTTAAATGGAGAGGTAATAATGAGATATTGCTTCAGAACAGTTGGTCTCGACAAGCTGGCTGTTGTTTGTTACTATTTTCAATGTCAAAAATTGACAAAGGGGAAAGAGAACCCAACATTACATGGGAAAGGATAACAACATGGTACATACATAGAAATAATAATAATAAATTGTGCTTGAGACAGCTTTAGAATCGCATTGCCATTAAAGCGACTAAGAAGTTCACCAATGGATAAATTATTAAAGAAAAGAAAAGAGAAAAAGAGAGGATAAAATCAGTTTAGAGATAGTGCTTCTGTGTCTCATTTACAGATTACAAGTGACACATTATTTTTCTTGTCTGACGATGAAGGATAAAACGCATTATGTGCTTTCAATTCATAGAGTATTTGAGTTAGTTTTGGAGTTTCAAGTGACAATGAATAAAAGCAATTTGGTGGGGATTAACCTTTCACAGACAAGATTGCAGAGGTTAGCCGGGATATCAGGTTGTTCAATTAAGTCTTTCTCTTTGATTTATTTGGGGCTACCATTGGGGCGTAATCCTAGGAGTACAAGTTTTTGAGACCCAGTACTAGAAAAATTAGGAGAATGTTAGAAGGATGGAAAAGGGTAGAAAATAGGATAGAAAAGATGATGAGAGATTTTTTGAGAGGGATATGAAGAAGGGAAGAAAGATCATTTAACTATTTGGGAGGTGTGTGCTGGCCAAAGATGAAAGGGGTCTTGCGATAGGTAATATTGTTGCTAAAAATAAAGCCTTGCTTGCCAAATGGTTATGGAAGCTTCCCATGGAAAAAGACTCTTAGTGGTATTCTATCATTAAAAATAAGTACAGGATTCAAGCCAAAAGGTGGGATTCTAAGTGATTAACTAGAAAAATTCATGTGCTCCTTGGAAATGCATTTCTCAATTGTTGGATTTATTCTATGATTTAATTTGTTTCATTCAGGGAATGGGAGAAATAGTCATTTTGGGGAGGTTCATTTGGACCAGCCATGATTCTTTTAAATCATTTGTTACCTCAACTTTATTGTTTGTCTCGTGTTCAGAATGTTTCCATTGCTACTATGCCATTGTCTTTCTCGGTTCCTATTTTTTAGAATTTTCATCTTTTCAGAAATCCTAATGATCAGAAGGCTAATGAGTTGACTTCTTTGTTACTTTTACTTGATGGTGTTTCCTAGAGGACTATTGTGTTAACAAGAAAGTGAAGAATATCCATTCTTTGGGTCTTTTTCTTGTAAATCTTTCTTTGATAGAATCATTGATGATCCTAATGTACAACTTTTTAAGCCTCATAACAATTTTGGATACATATGTGCCTCCTAAAGTCAAAATTTTTGTTAGGTCTTTGGCTCATAATAAGATCAATACCAGTTACATGTTTTTAGAAAAGAAGACCCAATTGTTTATCATCACCGTAGTGGTGCATTGTGGAGTCAACTTTTTTCATTGTTGAAGTGGTCCAGGTTATGCCAGGTTGATTCAGAGATATGGTTCAAGGCACCAAGATGCGTAGAATATTTGGGTGAGGAAGGTAATGCCATCACATCTTATGAAGTGCATTTGGGATGAAAGAAACTGGCGGTCTTCAAAGAGTGGTGTTTACTTTACACCAAAAGAAGCATTATTTTCTTGACACTTTAATTTCTTGAATTACAGGTCCCTCCATTGTCCACTAATACTTCTTGTCAATTTTTTGGCTGGCATTTTCTTTCTTGGATTTTGTTGTTCCTCTCCTGTATACATCATGAATACATTGACTGCAATCCGAACATTCTGCACTTCAAAAGAGAAGAGAAAAGAGATAGGATGAAGAAACTTATACCAAACATAAGATATTTCCATAGATAGTTCATTTCATTTGCTGTCAAACTTTAATTTTGAAGTTCTAATAACAAATTAAGGGGAAGTTTGAGATTTTCTTTTTTAGTGGCTTTTTGGCATTTTTTAGTGTTTAAAAAGTAGCTAAAAACGTACTTTCTTTTAAGTGGAAAAGTTGATTTTCTTTTTGGCTTTTTTAGTTGATGACAAATAGGCTTTTTGGCTTTTTTATTTAGCCAAAAAGTAGCTTCTTTAGCTGCATCCCAAATACCACCTAAATTAACCAAAATTATCTCGCAAAACCATGCTAATTATTATTATTACAAATTTTTATTATTTATTTTTGTATCTGCCATAAAGCCTCCATTCATGAAACCATTACCAATTGATTCACACAATATAATATAAGCATGAAAGCCAATTTATAAAAACAAGATTCTCTTACTACTGATAACATATGATACTATTTAAAAAACCAAATGGTAAAACTGTCAAATAGGTAATCAGAAAACATAAGCAGAACAAACCTGCTGAGAAGTAAATAGGAACCTTAAGATCCATGCGCTCCCAGTAATCATCCAACAGTATGCAGAGTTCCTATTGGATGACAGATAATACTGTCAGCAGAAGAGTGCATGCTTTATAACAGCAGAAATAAAAGAATTCTATGTAGAATAGCTTACTGGATTTTCAGAACAAAGGTAATTTAATTGCCTAAATGGTGAGCAATTTAGAGTTTTAAAGGTTAAATTAAAGGTCAATACACGGCCTCAAAGTGGACTAGAGTTGATTTGGGCGTGATCAGGGTTTTGGGGGCTGAAAGATGAACCTTTTGAGGGCTGTAAAAAGTGACCCAAGACTAGTACTTGGGTTATTCACGCAGAGAAGAATAAGAAGAAAAAAAAGAAAGAGGTGATCCACTCGCAAGGGTTAGGCAAATTCACACAAACACAATCTCAAAAGGGTTAGGCAAATCCACACAAACATAATCTCAAATTCTCATAATATCAAAACCATTGAATTATTGAGATTACACATATTTATAGGGTAAAGACCCTAGTTATACTAGCACTATTACTAAAATTTAGAAACTAAGAATATTTAGTAACTACAAATATTCTATGACTGACTATTAATTCTACTCCACCTACAATATGAGTTCAAAAGAAAACTCATAGGCGACCCCTACAGCCCATATCAAACTAATTATGAAATTACTAAAATACCCTATAACTATTAAAACTTAATACAAGGACATAAAATCTATCGAGCAACATACTAAATTAAAATAGACTCAAAATTATTCCAAAACTTCATTCCATGTGAAATCTCATATTTGCCCTTTTTCTCCTTTCCATGATCTTTGTCAAATATTCATTTTATATAATACCATTCTAAATTCCACAAGTGAGATGCCTAAGTACAACCAATGAAATACCCTTAAACGTATTTGTTTAGCATATTACATAAGGTATAAGAAGATGAAGAAAAAAAGAACAGAAGGAAAGATAATTGTATGACTATCAGATTTAAAATATCTCCCAACATGAGGTCATAACATTACAGCCTCAATCTCTCCTTGCCATAAATAACAATGAACCAAGATTGAGTAAAATTTTCATAGCAGAACAATTAAAGAGATCAAATTTCTCAACTAATCCAGCACAATCTCACCACCCACCAACCCAACTTATCCAAACCTTATCAACAATCCAGATCAGCTAAATACAACTACAGCTTTTCCACTACATGGAAGGTCATCCGCCCAATAAATTCTGAGAGTCAACATTCCACAGGTCTCACATGCTCTCCAACTTTCAATTTGCAAGAAAGTGGGGGATTTTGTAACCTAAACCTGTGAAAATTTCCTACTTTCTTTGTTCTTAATATTTACTAGACACACTTTGTTCATGCCCTCTCAATGCCGATCTGGCAGTGGGGGAAATTCTGATTTGGTTTCTTCAGTATGTCATTAAGGAAAAAAATGTAGTTCAGAAATATCATAGCATGAGGGATTCCGAAAGTTGACATCTATAATAAAACATGAAGCCCATATAAACAAAAGTAGAAGCAGAATACAGACTGTGGAAAACCTCATTATAAACAGGTTTAAAATTTTGATAAATATTCATGTCTACTAAGATCAGTTTGCATAGGAAATCAGAGTCCAAATTTGAAAAGGACAAAAGTTAAGCAAACTTCTGATGTGAATTTAGGATGCTGGCCAATTTTTTATTTTTTATTTTTTTTTTATACACTGAATTTAGTATAAATTTGTTCGACTACAAATTCAACCAAACAGTTCAAAACTTCAATTGAAATTCAGTGATATTCAGCTGAAAATTCAACAGACAAAAGCCTAAAGAACTTGATTGTCAAAATCTATTTGTAAAGTAAAAAATATGCAAGAATATGGATTTGAATTTGAAACTAAATTTAAAACAAATTGCTAAGAAGCACGGACATGGACACGTGACACGACACGAATATGACACGAACACGACGACACGGCAATTTTTAAAAAATGCAGAACACGACACGTGGGGGACACACACAGAATGTAAGGCTCTGTTTGGTAGAGCTTTGGAACGTTAGTTCCACGCTTTGATTTGCACACCGTGTTTGTTTACGGTTTTCAAAAATTAATTCCACACTCACTTATGAAAACTCTATCAAATGCGAGAAAATTTGGGCTAACCGGTCATCCCACCAGTCGTCCGGCCGGTTGACCAGAATAGTGCATTAATTTTTTTTATTTTTTTTTTGCAATTGACACATTTTTATTTTTATATATTCAATAAAAAATATTTTCCAAATTTTTTTAAATTTTTTATGAGTTTTGAATAGAATTTTGAGTTGTGTGCTTGGTTATGAGTTGTAAGTTTTTGTATCAAATATCATATGCCATATCAGAAATTCTCCACTCAATTCAAAACTCTTTTCAAAACTCATTCACCAAACAAATTTTCCACACTCAAATCATAATTCCAAAACTTACAAACTCAAAATATAACTCTATTCTCAAATCATATTTAGAAAACTCTACCAAACGCAACCTAAAATTTTATATATTTATTTTATGTCATATATAGGAATATATCATTCTAAGACAATAAATAAATGCAATATAACAATAATTTCTATAAATTAACATTATTTTTCTTTTATCATCATATTCTAAATTATTTTGTTCAAACTTATTATTAGTTTCGCCTATGTTTAATCAATGGACACGTGTGTCCTCTAGGTGTCCAAAGAGTGTCAAGTCTAATTCTTTTTTGAAAAAAGGGCACGTTTGGATGAGTGTCAGGAAAGTGTCATACGAGTGTCAGTGACACGGATACGACATGGAGGCACCACCTTTTTAGAAGTGTACATGCTTCTTAGACAAATTGGTATTTTAATTTGGAGTTGTTTACAGGTATTTCATTTGACAGCTTGAACAGCTTTTTTGTCCTGCATACCATAGGTGTCACTCATAACTTATTCCCTAAGACATAATGGGGGTGTTTGGCAAAGGCTTTTTTTGGCTTTTTGAGCTAAAATTCACAAAATGACGAAATAGACTAAAACAGTCAATAAGGCAAAATGTCACATCAAACCCATAATCATTTCACTTTTTGTAACAAGTTGAATAAAATTGAGTTTATACTTTAATCTTAGTTGAGGATTTATTTTAAATTCATTTTGGACCCATTTGATTGAATCGTGACCCGTTAGTAACCATGAAATATTGTTGTGGTTTTATTATTATTATTTGATTAACATAAAAGAGTTATGAATATTTATAGTGTGTACCATTAAACGAAATATATTTTGTGGTGAGAAAATATTATATTTACTTTTATTATTAAAGATTATGTATTTTTAAATTGATATATATATATAGGTGCATATATATATGGTTAGATATTTGTTTAGTCAAAGAAAAGGAAATATCTATAAATAGAACTTAATAGATATTTTTTTTATACTTTGGGTGTTCTTTCCTAGTTCTTGCCATGGAGAAAAGAAAGAAAAAGAATTCTAAGTTGATTTTTCATGGGTTTGATCTAGTGTAAGTCATTTTTGACCCCTAGTGCTTTGGATCAAAACGTAGAGGCCGGAAAAGGTGTCGTTTGGCTCCAAGAAAATTTAATTTCTGTTGCCGAAAGCTTGAGATAGAGATTTTTCCTACACTTCTTTATGCACTTTTACTTGATTATATGGAGTTTAGACTTGTATATAATTTAATTAGAATTTTTGAAAAATTTGTGATTTATTTGCTTAAAAGAGAAATTTTGAGAAAAATAAAGAGTTGATGCCCAAATTGCGAAAGTGTAAACTTGGAATATATTTGTAAGGTTATATGAGAGCCATGTTTTAAATTTGAACAAAAATGGACTTCGATTCAATCGGTTTTGAAATTTTTACCGGTTTGCAACCAAAAGAGCATTTTTAAAGAAAACAAATGAATTATGTTTAACTTTTGGGGCTTTTGATCAAAATAGGATGTCATAGTTGAATAATGCTTGGAGAACAAGTTTGGAAAGAAAATGATGTTTTCTTGGGCATTAACAGTATTATTTTGCTTAATGTATCTGTTGGAATAAAACCGACACGGTTAGAAATGGATCTTGAGAGGTTACCGGACGTGATTGTGATATGAAAACTAGTGTAGTTGTTCATATTTGATGAGATGTGGAATAGATTGTATTCATCAGAATTTTTGGAATTTAATTGTTTAAATATCTGTTTAGAAATATCTGTTTTGGGCTATCGGTGAAGGATAACCATGATTGTTGTAGAAATGCATGAGACTTAGGTAAATTGAACCACATTCCTCATTTGTTGCATTGGACATTGCATTATATTCATTTCATTGGAAATGTATCTGTTTTTTAGAAATGTTTGGAAATGTATCTATTTACGAAAATATGAATACTTGGTGAATCTGGATAGAGAGTGTGGAACCGCGCGGTTAGGTGTCAAGCCTACCAGTTTACTGATAAAAATGACAGTGGTAGTGCATTAGGGCCTACTTGCAGATACTCACTTAAAGATTCACAGAGCCTGTATTCATGTAACAGAAATGGTTTAAAATGGAAATGGTTTTATATCTGTTGTTGCATCTCAGCATTGCATTCTTTATAAAAAGAGAGATAAACTGTTTTATCATCAGCATGACATGAGCATACACCTCTTTAGTCTTGTCATGGTTCATATGTTGTGTAGTATATCTCTACTGGGCTGTAGCTCACCCTATAAAGGAAACCATTTCAGATACAGGTGCTATGCCTCTGCCAAGGCATTCACTTGGGAGGACTCGGAGCTGAGGCTTCATTTTTGTTTTTATTGTTATTTGTTGAATATAAGCCCAGGGCTGTATTTGCGTTGAGTTGAAACTCTATTTTGTGTAACCAAGAATGTTTTTGGATAAATTTGTAAGCCTGTAGAGCACTTATTATCTGTTTGGCAACCATTTCATACTTGTTGTAAAATACATGCTTGGGATTGAAACTGGGGCATTGAGATGTGAACAACATGTATTTGGCATTTGGGATTTAATAGAAATTGATGCATGGAATAGTTAGCTATATATATGTGTTTGTCTATCAAGTGGGTTTTGTTACATAAATAGATATACCCTGTCCAATTTTCAGGGCGTTACACTTTTTCTCTCACAAACATCACATCCAACTATAAAAAAATCCAACTATCTTTCCAAATACAAAAATATTAGCCTATTAAAATAGCCAAAAACTAAAATAGCCTACTAAAATAACAACTTTCCACAGTGTCTTAATGGAAATAAGATGTCAAAAAGAGAGGGGTGCACCCCATGAACACAGGACATATACACAAAGGAACAACCCAGCAATGGACAGGAAAGTATAAATCCACCAAAAACTCCACAAAAAATACAACGAAGAGGTTGAGGAAGCTCCTTTAGTGAAATTGGCTCTTTATTGAAGTATTTTTGTTGATGGGTGTGGTAGCATTTTGGTTTGTTTGATTTTCTTTTTTTGATTGTATAAGGGTTGTGCCCCCTCAGCGACAAATACCAGACATTCAACAGACTTCATTTTACTTATGAGTTGGAATGTAATCTCCAATGGTTCACTTGCTAATACTCTAGCTATTGCTATATTTAGCAATGTGACTCCAATGGTGTCTTTGCTATATTTTTTTGCTTAATCACAACCATTGAATTGAAGTTTTCTATTCAAGTTTCTCCCAATAGACCACAACAAGCACAATTAGATACCCCAATCTTTCCCAACCTCCGCAAATCACACTCCAACAAGCTAACAGCTCCCCCCTCCCTCCCAAAAAATAATATTAAAAACACCCAGTCAACTCCCAAACAGAGAAAGGAAACAGCTCCATGGTTCCTGTGAGTACTCACAATGAAAAAGCAAATAACTAACATTCCTACCCACACTCTCATACACACAATGCCACCTAGACAATCCCTCGGCGCCTCAAATTGTCAATAGTTAAGATAACAAACCAAGAGGCTGCCTAGTTCCAAAAAAAAAAACATAGTCTAATAGTCTTGGTGCGGCAAATCCCTTTCCAAGAACCCAAAAAAAAAAAAAAGGAACCCAAATGCCTTGAATATCTTGTACCAAGAATTTTTAGAAGAAATTCCATATTTATTAAGCTTCCACCTCGAGACAACACCCCTCACCGTTGTATGCATCCCAAACATTAGAACCACAGATACAGTTCCAAAAACTTAATTATGGTTTCCACCACCCAGTCCATCAAATTACGGAAACTAGGCATCCACAAAACCCAAACATCCAAGATAAGGACAAAATCTGCAATAGAGGTTCCCACTTATAGCAATTCTGGTAGGAATGCCAACCTCAAAGGCTGGTGAGACACACCAAGCAAGCATCATCCCAGAAAAAAATCCTCTGCCCATCTCCAAAATGTTAGCCAATTCCCAATGTACTTCAAAGTATCACCAACCCCTTCATAATCCTTTTCCAAACCAAGTCAAAGAAAAGGTAGCAAGCAATTCCTTTTCAAAACCAAGCCATGGAACTAAAATTTCAGGTTCATACAAATAAAAGCCCATAAAATGGTTGTGTTATTGAGAAAACCTGAGCTCTTCCAAGAGCAAATGTAGGAATGAGCACCTTTCCTCCACTAGCAACGCATTTATGAACCTTCAATTAATAATTGTAATGATTAGAAAATAATATGAGCATTTCAAAGTATCATACAAGAGACAAAATGTTGAAGTGCAATACAAAAACAAACTTTAAGAAATATTAATGTAGGAAAGGTTTCATATGAGTAGAAAAAAAGTAGCATGACCAAATTAAACAACACATAACAAATAACTAGCATGCACATCACATATGGACATATATAACAAGAAAATAACCATCATGAAAGCAAATTATATGTTGCACACTTAAAAATGTTTAAATTGGCTCTCGAACCCGAGTGCAACTGAGCGTCGTTCAAAATTGAGAAATTTCAAAAAGAATCAGCCAAGTTCATCGAGGTTTATCAATCAAATGGGAAGAATGCAGAGGAAAGACAAAATGCATGAACCGCTAACCTATGACTCTAGCTCTACCATAGTTACCGGGAAACATGTTAATACCCCAGCTATCTACTTTGGAAGCATGTCTTCCCAAATATTTTCACTCCACAATGATAAATTCAGCTATCAAAAAAGTGCTCTTATATCTTTGCCTAGTTTCCTTTTCATACAGTGAAACATTAATACAATAACAGCAATTGAAATCTGATAAGTATGGAGTTTTTTCTTCTTGGTAAAAAATAGAAAATAATGTTTAATGCAATATTTCATACAAAGTGCTTAAAATAAGGAAGGCATGCGAAGTTCAATGTTTATTTACATGATTATTAGTTCCAATATAGAAGGGTTATGTAATAATGCAACTTATTTTGATTTATTAATATTAAATTCCATTATTCATCAATTGGTCAAAAGAAAACATTGTAGCAATTACAAATAACTAAAGATGTCCCAACTATGTTACCCATATATGCCCAAAAACCATCATACCACATTTATTTGGTATATGAATACCAAGTCCAAAATAAGGCTCTACAAGCTAAGAAAACTTCAAATTCTTCTCACATGATAACAAGCCACAAAACAATCTTAAAACCTGTGCTGTGCCCCTGAAATTAGTCCTCTATTCTCTTTGAAAATTCTCAAACTCAAAAGTCTTCGTAACATTTCCTTTTGGTTGGTAAAATAAGAAGAAAAGAGACATTCATAAATTTGAAATTAAAAATAAATAATAAAAAAAGGAATTCAGAAGATCATTTGGAGAGGTCAAACCCAACCCCTCTTTTTCATTAACTTCTTTTTTTGTTTTTGTTTTTGTTTCTAGAGGGAGACGGGGGAAGCCTGGTGATGCAAATGTGTGCACATGGAGATTTTCTAATTAAGCTTATGTTTATTTTTAATATTTATGTTTATTTACAATTTAATTAGGATCTAATATATTTAGTTTCTTATTCTACAAGGATTTAAGATTCCAAATAATATGATGATTTAGTTTCCTATTTAAAATTAGGGTTTCTAGCCTATATATATTAGGGTTTTGCGTTGTAATAGACAACTTTTGAATAATGAGAATTTGAGTGTTTTAGGTTGTGGCCGTTGTGTTAGGGTTGTGGCCCTCTTCACCGTCTTTGTTCTCTCTTCTCTTTCTTTCTAAAAGTGTTCTACATCACCTGGCCAATCAAATAATATTTGAACATCTCTGTATTGGCAAGCATTCCAAGTAGATAATTTGATGGATGCCCATGGTTCTAGCAATTCCAATTGCAATGAATTCTTTGATGGTGTAAAATCAGTAAAATAGTTTTGAAATAGATCATGGAAATCATTATGTAAACAATCTTCAATCAACCTGGTTTCAAAATATTAATCTATTATAAATATACCATCAACCAAGATCCATAAATCCGGCCATAGACCCAAATAAATGCAATTTTACGCTTAAAAGTGGAAGAAAATATTGACCATTGGAAGTGCTAATCAATATTTTCGGTAGAAATCATCACAATCTGTTAAACTGGCTTCCTGCAACTTTCATGAATTATTTCCATATGAAATATTTATCGGTCGCTCAGCATAAATCATATATAAATAAAATAAAACAAGAATATTGAAAAGACTACTAAACTCAATAGTAATGTATATTGTTTAATCAGCATAAACGCAAGAATTCAAACGGAAGTAATATAAAAATACAAAATACAACAGATTGTAGCCTGCATACAGCTTTAAGAAATTCCCTCTCACGAGCATATTTTGAATCACGAACAGTTGTTGCATATGTTGACCTGCACGATTAAAATCAATAACCAATACTATCAATTCTGGCATTGACGGCTCAAATCTGAGTTGTCCTTCATGCAAAAGGCAGTCCTAAAAACAGGAGGATACAAAAATTTCTCAACACAAAGGAAACCACAGATTTTGATTATAGTAATTAATAGACAGACATAATAAAATAACATTGATCTCTCAAAATTTTCCACAAACAATAAAATCACTATCAGACTTGGTGAATAACATGACGGTTCACTGCAATGGTGTTAGTAGAAGATTAAAGATCAAGTTCATGGAGGGACCACTAGAGGTTTGCCCGGTCATTAGCTTCAGGGCCCCGGATCAAAAAAAAGAAAGGTTCAAGTTCATGGAAAAGGAAAAGGAGGGAAATTCCTTTAAACCAAAAGCCATTTGACTTTGAGGTGTTTCATTTGAATTTGACTGGATATTTTTATGTCATTCTATTTATTCAAAAGAGTCTGTTTGAATGACGTATTTCAGATCATTCTCTATGATTACAGAATGACGTAGGACAGATTTGGAAACAAGGCCTAAGGCTGCCTACAATGGAATTGCGGTGAGTTCTGGCTTTAGAAAGCTTCTGGGTTAGGATTCTATAAGTCAGAAGAGAACTTCAAGGGTTTCTAGAAGGAGAAATGCTTAAGTTTGCTTAATTTAGAAGTTTCAGATTGCTGGACTCTCATAATGGGCATGATTAAAGGAACTAAATAACGGTTTTTTTGTGGGTTATTTATTAAATTGAAAAACTAAGAAGCACAGGTATGGATATGGGTATGATGGACATGGTGATTTTCAAATAGGATATGACACTAGGTGGAAATGGGGGACAATTTTATATATTTTTATTTGCTATATATATTAATATAAATAAGGTATAGAGATATGGGATGCATCAATGTTTATGTGGGTGTATTTTTATTTCTTTTCCACTTTCCCCCTACTTTGTTTCCATATATTTCACTTTGACCACCAAATATGCTTTCTAAAATTATTTTTAAAAATCCACAAAGGTGCCTTGATGCATGTCAGACACAGTACACGTGTTCCATCAAGTGTCCCCAAGTCTGGCAACCAAAAAAAAAAATTAAAAACATTTTTTGACATGCCACAGTACACATGTTTCGTGAAGTGTCCCTAAGGTTTCCTGCAAAAGAATAATAATTATAAAAATTGACATGCCACGCGCCGTGTCTGACAGGTGGACATGGGTGTCTAACACATGGGCACATGTGTCAGTGCCGTGTCTGTGTATGACACATTGCCGTCTTGGAGTGATTCCTAATAGAAAGCCAAAAGGTAAGGAAAGGTTTGAGTTTTATTAGAGCTTTGCATGGAGAGATAAACAGTGAGCTGGTGTGTTAGTTTTTCTGCAAAGAGGAGAAGAAGAATAAGAAGAAAAAACCCTATGAATCGCATCGTCAGCTAAGGTTGCACAGGATTGTGAACAATCCATAACAGTGAGCTGGTTTTTCTACAAAGAGAAGATGAAGAATAAGAAGAAGAAAACTCTCTATGAATCACCTCCTCATAAACGTTTAACACATTCTCAAAATCTTCACTCAAATGAATAACAAGACTACATATGTTTTTAAAGATTGTGGGATCTCCTAATTCTATTAAAGCAATGACTTAAAAGATTAGGAAACATGGACTCTTTAAACACTAGACTAATTTAAACCTATATAAAACCACATAGAATGGTAAAAATGACTTAATTTAACCCACAAGATGACCCATGGGCAACCCCTAGAGCCCATATCCAACAATTTATAAGATTACCAAGTTACAAACCTAATAAAAATCCTTCCAATTTTAATATGTCTAGTAGAATTTTAACCTATAAGACACATAAAAATAAGACTCAAATTAACTTTAAACATTTATATATAAAGCACTAAATGCCCAATTCAGAATTTCATATTTATCCCTCTTTCTTTTCTCTTTTTTTTTTAAGAGGAGCCAAATCCGGTTTGCTATAATTTCTGGGTCCAGGTCCGGAACCAAAAGTGTTCCACAACCTGAGAATTAGGGCAAAAAGCGCTCTCCCACTCTCAAGTGGTAAGCAATTGAGTGGGATGAGTCACCTCATTTTTCGAAAGAGATCAAGGACAGGTTCCCCAGAACCGCCCGCAAGAGGGGGCGCGTCTCAATTAGAGATCAGCACTTATAGCCCATGACTAACAATTTGTAAAATTAACAAATACCCTTATCACATAAAACATGGTAAAAAGGTCTAAAATTTGTTCTAAACACAATAATAAAGGTCGTACCCAATGCACAAGGCTCCTTACTTACAACAGTGTTCAAGAGAGGTAATAAGTAGGCAGCTTTCCCCCATACTCCCGACGAAAGTGCATAATACCAAACCAAACCAAGCCTTAAGTTCCATCAAATAGGGTCGGCTACATAAATCTTTCTTCTCCACTCGACTCTATCAACGGTCATTTGGTTAGTCAAATTAAGGAGATTCATATATCTATATACTACACTAGCCTACGTCAATCTAGGTTTGCCCCTTCCCCTAATACTTCCATCTGCCATCACTGTATCGCATATCTTCACTACTACCTCTATTAGTCTCCATTGTATTTGACCAAACCATCTCAATCTATTCTGTCTCAACTTATCTTCTATCAATATTACTCCTACCGTTCACAAATATACGCATTCCTAACTCTGTCTTTTCTAATCTTGCCACACATCCACCTTAGCATCCTCATCTCAATAATACTCATCTTATTTACATGTTGTTTCTTCGTTGCCCAACATTTCGTCTCATACAACATCTCTAGTCTAATAGTCGTTCTATAGAACTTTCCTTTTAGTCTAATGGGTACTTGTTAATCACACAGTACCCCAGACGCACTCCTTCACTTAAGCCACCCTGCCTTAATTCTATGGACCACATCTGCTCCAATCTCCCCAGCCGTTGTGATGATCAATCCTAAATAACAAAAATATTCACTCTTAGGTAGCTTTTAGATTATACATAATAAAGAATTTAATTTTATACATATACACCATGTATAGTCTCAAACGTGCGAGTGTAGCTTTTAGATTATATGAAAAAGTTTACCAAGTTTTCAACAATGAGAGGAGGATCTGGTTCATAAAAGGCATCCTCAATTTTTTTTGATCAACTGAAGGCATTCTTAATCTTTGACAGGATACTGCACAAAACATAAATCATGTAGTATCATGCAACATGAAAGCTTCAAACATATAATTGTACACGTTACTTGGGGCAATGGTAAAAGCTGCCACACTTGAGGACATGGATTTGGGTGTAACAGTAGCCACTTTGTAGAAATAATGCCTAAGATTAAGTCTGTATCTTGCCTGCCACCACCCCACCAGCACCCTCCACATATGGGAACAAACACCCAATGAAGTACAAACTAAAAACATGTGGCCTAATGCAAAAATGTGGAAATATTATATATATATATAAATACATCAAGACAAAACATATAAAGAAGAATGATTATAGGTCGAAGGAAGAAAAATAATAAATGAGATTTAGACGCAAGACTGCATCAATACATTAAAAAAAAAAAAATAGGGAGAAAAGGGGAGAGAGAGTGCTTAGATGCCCATGGCCCTGGTGAGTCAGAAGATCAGGAGAAAGTTGTTTTAAGTATGTAACAGTAACAAGATAAATAAATTGAAAAAAAGAAGATAAATGCCACATTACCAAACCTTCTAATGGTGCAGTTTTAATCATATATATGTTTGTGTTTCACACGTAAATTTGAAGGCAAAAACAGATCAACCCAGGGAATTAATCATATGTTAATCTGGTGCAGCTACAATTGCAACTAGGAAGAGGTGTTTAAAAGAAGAGAGAATTGCAGGAAACATTTCAAAGCATTGCACTGAATACACAACCTCAAAAAAGTAAATAAATAAATGACCAAATAGAGCTGAATAACAAAGCACCAAAGAATACTTTTTTCCTTTCTTTTGCATGCGCACCATATGGTTCCTCATATTCCCGATCAATACAAAACTTCACAAGCTAACAAATGACATATACCATACATTACAGACAACAAGCATGTCTAATTATGATTCTGATCCAGCAAGCAGCAACATAAGCAATATATATATGTGTTCCTTACTCTGTTATAACAAGGTCCAACCGTAGTCGATCAATTTGAGCAGCTCCAAGATGTCTATCTGGTGTCATATTATAGTCCCCTGTGTACACTATAGCAGCATCTCCTACTTTTGCATAAATCATTGCAGCTCCAAGAACCTAAAAAAACACAATATTGAATTTATACATAGAGTGGATCTGTGATACTGACACAGAACAAATTGCATACACAGATAGCACACAGAGAATAAACAAAAAGCAGCTTCATAATGTCCATTGTCTAGTACAAGAGGCACAATAAATAAGCATCACATTGAAAACACTTTTGCTGAAACACTGACATATACACAACTACAATGGAAAAGGGACAGTGCATAACTTGTTAACAAAAGAGCATCTTAAGATTAGGATGACAGAACTTTGTGATGAGGCTTAAAAAATCACCAGGACTTCGAACAGAATGGTCCAGCACTTTCTGTGTTCCATACACTCTACTTTTTCTTTTTGTTGGGGATATAAAAAAATGTCTCTCGTTTTGCTTGGAAAACCAAAAACTAATCATTATGGCATTAGGGAAATAGGATTTTGGTGCAGCACTTTCTGAGTTCCTCAACTCTACTTTTCTTTTTTGTTGGGCAATAAAAATGTTTCTAATTTTTTCTTGGAAAACCAAAAAACTTTCCTATGGTTCAAACAACAGAATCCTCGACCATTTTGGCATTAACAGAAATCAAGCGACACTTGATACAAGGGTTTGATCAAGCTGCATTGAAGAGTTCTGCTGTCCCAGTGTTTTCAAAAGCTCTAGGCGCGTTGAGGTGCCAAGCAAAATTTCAATCTAAGCAAAGTTCACAACATATGCAAATATTTATAGAACTCCAAAAATCATATAACAACATTCAATTTTCCAAAAATTATGAAAACAATATTCAACATTCTGAAAAATCCCCAAAAATAACATTCAATCTTACTTTGCCCAGTACTATTTGTCTATCAATTTATTAACGTGACTCACTTCTTTTTTGAGATATGAAACTTACACCACATGGTAACTTAGTAGTTTTAATTTTAAACTGGGACCAAATTGCCCGATAGCTTCAATCATTGGCCCCAAACTGTCATAATTCACTACATTGAAAGAAATCTCAAAGTCATATATCCATCTTGCAAACCCAGAGCTTTTGCTCAATGACTAGGGCTTTTTTATATGAAAATTGGGACTCAAAGCATGTGTTTGCATTTCATGTTAAAGGAGTAATAATTCCCTGTGGCTACACAAAGAATAAAGCAGAAGCAAGAATTTAAATGAAGCGGATGAGGCGTGCGCCTCACGCCTCATATGCGCCTTCCCTACAATGCCTCACCTCAAGCTGCCTGAGGAGCCTTAGGTGCCCCTCATGCCTAAGCGGGCGCTTAGGCACGCCTTTTAAAACACTGTGCTGTCTTGCTAGACCAGCTAGCTTTCTTGGACAAAAAAAAATGTACTAAACACAGTATGTGTCAGTTAGCTTATGAAACTCATAGATTGCACTCAAGCGAGTAGTTTCAAATGGATACATAATAACTATGGTCTCAAATATTTTGCATTTTGCACCCCAAAAAAAAATTCCAAACTAAAATGCATCTACACTGTTGTATTTTGCCATTGCTGTGGCCATCCCAATAAGGGGGCAGGAAGACAGTGAACTGTGGCTTCCAAATACCATTAAAACTTCAATTAAGTACCAGATGAGAGAGAAGCCAGGTTTCCAAGTGTCATGAATGCTTGAATGCCAAAGTTCTATGCTAGATGCATCATAACTACTGCATTTTGCGATTGTGGTGGGGGCAGGTGAGCAAAAAGCTATGGCATCCAAATACCATTAAAACTTCAAGTATGTACCAGCTGGGAACAAATACTTACTTTGTTTGCGTCATACTGCTTAAAAGGTGCTGAATTTAGTCTTAAATAATTAGAAGAAAGAAGTTCATAACTAGGAGCTAAGAGCAGGAGCTACTTCTGAAGAAGATACTTTAGACAGAGAGACAGACAGACAGAGACGGAGAGAGAGAGGGAATACATAAACAGCGGAAACAATTAGAAACTTCTACAAGTGCATCAGCGAAAAATCAGGGGGCCAGGAACTTAAAATTTATCAACCTGTAGCAATTTCTAAACGAACACATGCATGAGAAAAAAAAGTAAAGTTTTACATGTCCAGCATAGTAGGCACGGATCTGAAGGTCTTTATCAACCTGTACAGTCTGTTTCAGATCCACAGCTGTAACTGCCAATGCAAATACCAAAACCCAAAAAAAAAAAAAGGAAGTTCAATGACAGAGAAACAGGAAGGTGAAAACAAAGTGTGCCGGAGAATAAAATTAAAGCATACGCATTTATTGAAGTAAAGAATGGGAATCCACCACGACTATCTAGATTAGAATGTCTGTTTAGTACAGAAATTCTTCTCCATCAAGTAGATTGCAAATAAAGTTTCTAGTGTTGTTACACTGTCAAGGTACATTATATTGGCCCCAGCAACTGTTTCATCAATTCCACAACCATTATCTGTTCCATTTTTTTTAAAAACAAGACTCTCAAATGAGGTATATTCTTTAAGTGGGTTGAAAACCTTAGACATCGCCCTTGTTGAAGGCAATCGAAGAAGAGTGTTGGTCACAGAGTGTGGCATAGGGTTTGCAAAAAAAAAAAGGAAGTCATCTGCATGCCGCATTCTGATTTGGAGACAGATGGGTGCATGTCCAACTAAGCATACCAGGTAATATTCTATACCCTTATTCAAGTATCGGCAGTGGGAACTTCACAAATTTAAAAGAGTTCATGTAACATAGATGGTACACAAAGTTGCACAAGGGGAAATGGAGAATCAAGTGCATGTGTTTCCCTGGTTCAGGTGCTCTCATGTCCAGTTCTATGACCTTTCTTTGATGTGTTGGTTCCGGATGTTCTTTTTTTCTCTCATTTTTTCCACTTCTATAATTGTATTATTCACCAATATAGTTAGAGTTGCAGCTTTGGTGCAGTTCTTTGATGGAGAGATGTCTTCTAGGATAGAGTGGTTTCATTATTTCATCTAAATATATTACATGGACTCTTCTATTTCCCCCATAGTACCCGTGTCCACTGGATATGACATGGGTACGGGTGTGGAATATGTGTCCGACACTCGTACCCAATTTAGATACTCAAATCCTTTAATTTGTTACAATATATATGAGAAGAAGAAACTCACATTTGCTAGCAAATCTATTTTTGGCCTCTCACATTAATTAGATATAGAAAGTTCATATTTTTCATGAATCCTATTCAATTTCAAGTATATTTCTATGCAATCTGTATGTGTATATGACGCATCCCCATACCCATATCCAATTTTGGATACATATCCCAAGATCCTAAGATTTGAATTTATAAGGTATGACGCTTGGATGCACACTAGCACCCAATACTCGTACCCAAGTTCATGTAACATATGGTGTATGTGCCCTGCTGGCAATGTCTACTCCTGCTGCTTGCACAACGAGCCCTAGTCTATTTTATTTGGCCTTGCCTTGACTCATCTGTGGTGGTGGTCTCAATCCTCCTTTGTGCAGGTCACTTATCTTTCTTTAGACACTTCCTTGTGAGATTCTATTGGAGGTGTTGATCATTGTGATGCTTGTTGTGGGTTGCGTTGATATGGAAATGTTGGGTTTGGGGTTTCTATAGGGTCCAGAGCAATGGCTCACAGTGGCATTTTCTTCAGTTATGGTCAATCTTTGGTACTGTTGTAGAATAGATGATTCCTGCTCCTGCATCGGGAGAGTATCAGAAAAAAGAAAGGCTATATACCTTTCTTCATGCATTGCACAATGTTCTCAGAAGTGAACTGTTCTTCTTCTCCCCTTCGATCAACCATCACTCGCCGATAATCCTCCAGCATCAACGGAGCCAAAGCTTTTGTTGGGTACTACAGTATAAAAAAATATATAGTAAATTCATCAAAACCCAGATTTGCCAATTACCAATTTGAGTGTCAGCAAGAAAAATTCTACTAAGACTTTCAATGACTGGGAAAGCATAAGACAAGAAGATAAATGAAATAAGACAGGAAGATAAATGAAATAAGACAGGAAGATAAATGAAATAAATACTAATCTTGTGAAAAGAAATTTGAATTACGAATTGTTAATGCCTAACCAGAAAAAGTCAATTGGCATCCAGCCCAGAGTAGTTAAAAAAATGAATCAGAAATGTCTTGGCACCCAATTAGAATAATATAATCACTGAATAAAATCACTTATAACCTAATAAAATAAAAGAATTGCAAGAAAATGGCAAAGAATTACAATGGTACTTCATCTAGATGGCAATAATTTGAAAGATAAATAGGTCAATAATGCCATTTGATGCCAACAATACCAAGGACACATCTGTCTCCAGTCAATTGAAGCAGACAAATACTGGGTGTGCTCATTCTTCATTACAAACAGCCTTTTTCTTTTTCTTTTTCTTTTTCTTTTTCTTTTTTTTTTTTGAAAACCAACTTCCTTACAAACAGCCTTTCAAGAAGACATGCAATCAATGGCATGGCTTTGAAAATCAAAGTTTGAAGCACACCAAATGTAGCAATTTTGAAATAGAAGGTACTTCAACACTTGTTCACACAAATCATGTAAGAGAGATTACCGTCATGTAAATGGGTCCATTGTACCCACAAACTTCAGTGAAATATGGAAGAGCTCCGATATGATCCAAATGACTACACAATTACACTCGAGTTAGTTAAAAATAAAAAATCACACAAGCACACACGCACCCTTTTTATCATACAAAGCACACAACTCACTTTTGTGAAGCTTTGTCACACCTATGAAGCACAGGTACGAGTACGAGTACTGGTACTGATACGATACAGGTACGTCGATACGGTAAAATTCAAAAAAAATAGGGTACGGGTACGCCTTGGTACGCTTGTAAAAAAATATTTATTTTTAATTTAGAGTAATGCAAAAATTAAGTAAATTGTTTAATTTGTTAAGGTCCAACCTATAATTAACATTTAATGCCAAAAGGAAAAGTATAAATCAAAATTAAATGTCAATATATTAAACAGCTTAGAAATCATAGTTTAATTTTAAAATCATGCTAAGCATAAAACAAAAACTAAAAAAGAAATCTAGTGAAATGAGTTTTATCTCTGTAGTAGAAGGAAAATATTATTTCAACTGACGTACGGTACGGCTTGGATATATACTAGGTAGGTCTGGGTACGTCAAAAATTAAGAAGAAAAAACTTGGATACGTGTTTCGTGTACCCGGTATGTATGCAGAAGTACCATACAAGGTACGGTACGCCGGTAAGTACCCGGCACGGGTACGGCATGTTTTTCGAAGTACTCATTGCTTCATAGTGTCACACAATGTTGATTCCCAAAAAAATCTTAGGAACACTATATTTTTTTTTTCAAATATTTACCTTCACCTAACAGTTATTCTAAGAACCAAAAAGTAAAACCAACAAATCAAAAACTGTTGCCCACTACACACAGTCTCTCTCTCTCTCTCTCTCTCTCATGATTTCCATGTATTAACAGATTCAAATACACATGGCAATATGCTGAGTTTTCTAGTATAGACTGTCACTTTTTTTGGTTTTCCAATAATTGCCCTCATATTCAATAACTACCACATCCAATAACTGTTTCATCAAACTGCCAAAAATTGCTAAAAAGTTTTCATCATTCATCAAATCAGACCTCAATCGTCAAACCATTCAAAGATATAAGTGTGAAATTGCAAACGCATGGCATTTGCACCCACAGCTAATTCTATTATATAATGCGCACACCCATTTTGTCCAAATGTGAATTTATATCCATAACCACTACATTCAATACCAACCAAACAATTTAAAACTTCTGAACATTTTTCTAATTCGTCAAACCGCCCCTCGATTATCAAATCATCCAAAATATTAAATGCAAAATCACAAACATATAGAAGTGGAAAATGGGGAATTATACAAATGGGTAATGATGATGCAGGATAGAGCGTTGTCGAAGTCACCGGATTTAGAGATGAGAGAGAAATCGGGGTATCGGCGGTGATCGAGATAACCCATGTGCATACCACAGTCAAACATTATCCTCTTCCCATTGATCGAAACCACCACGCAGCTCTTCCCCACTTCTTGCCCTGCGCCTGAGAAAAAACAATACCACCAATATCATCGTCGGCACAGCAAACACAAAGATGTTCATAATAAATCAACAGAACGATTGGGACAGAGAAAGAGATGTACCGAGGACGAGACATTCGATTACCATTGTCAAAACCCTAGAAGAAATGCCTATTAGACTTGGCGCGCTTTCATCTGATTGATTTGAGAATTTGGTTAAAAAAAAAAATGGGCAAATTACATTACCTCTCTCAAGGTTTAGTTAAATTACATATATCTTTGAAGTTTCAGAAATTACAGATACTCTTGAAGTTTATATTTTCATAACAAATTGCTCCTGAGGTTTATATTTTCATAACAATTTGCCCCCTAATTTGTTATGCAAATAGTACCTTCAGGGATATCTGTAATTTCTCAAACCTCATGAGGTATCTATAATTTTACTAAACCTCGAGGGTATATGTAATTTGCCAAAAAAAAAAATTGATATATAATAAAAAATAAAAAGATAATGGGTTAAAAAAATTAAAAAGTCAAAATTTTGACTTTTATTCCAATTCCCAAATCAAGTTAGAGCATAGGGAAGGCAATGGCGTGGGACGGGATCGAGGACCACACTTCTTGTCCTCGATCTTTGACAATGGAGCGGGACGGGCCTGGGGATCGCACTTTCCGTCCTCCATCTCTGTTGGTGAAAATTTCTCCGTTCCCGACCCCGATCCCCGACGGAGAACCTATCACCGCCCCCGCCCCCTAACGGGGATCAGGTTTCCCCAATCCCAAAAATTGCCCGGCATCATCAGCATCATCATCAACAGATCTGTTTATCATCATCATCAACAAAATAGATTCAAATAATTACCATTCAGCAAGAGCAAACAAATGGATATGAGAACACAGTAATACATACATGTAGTACATTATGTAGGTGTTTGGAAATTTGCTATTTTAGGGCTCGTTTGGGAATGGAAGGTTTGGGCTTTTTTGGCTAAAATAGCCACACAAAAAAACAAAATAGGCTTTTTAACCTAACAAGAGAAAACATCACATCCAACTCATAATCATTACATTCTTTCTTTCACAAGAAATAAGAAGAAAAAAAAAAAGAAAAAAAAAAAAAAAACCAAAAAAGTGAAAAGAGCCAAAAGTTCTTTCCAAACAAGGTGAAATGAGTTTTATCTCTGTAGTAGAAGGAAAATATTATTTCAACTGACGTACGGTACGGCTTGGATATATACTAGGTAGGTCTGGGTACGTCAAAAATTAAGAAGAAAAAACTTGGATACGTGTTTCGTGTACCCGGTATGTATGCAGAAGTACCATACAAGGTACGGTACGCCGGTAAGTACCCGGCACGGGTACGGCATGTTTTTCGAAGTACTCATTGCTTCATAGTGTCACACAATGTTGATTCCCAAAAAAATCTTAGGAACACTATATTTTTTTTTTCAAATATTTACCTTCACCTAACAGTTATTCTAAGAACCAAAAAGTAAAACCAACAAATCAAAAATTGTTGCCCACTACACACAGTCTCTCTCTCTCTCTCTCTCTCTCTCTCTCTCCACTCTCACCCATGATTTCCATGTATTAACAGATTCAAATACACATGGCAATATAGATTTGAATTTATAAGGGACTGTCACTTTTTTTGGTTTTCCAATAATTGCCCTCATATTCAATAACTACCACATCCAATAACTGTTTCATCAAACTGCCAAAAATTGCTAAAAAGTTTTCATCATTCATCAAATCAGACCTCAATCGTCAAACCATTCAAAGATATAAGTGTGAAATTGCAAACGCATGGCATTTGCACCCACAGCTAATTCTATTATATAATGCGCACACCCATTTTGTCCAAATGTGAATTTATATCCATAACCACTACATTCAATACCAACCAAACAATTTAAAACTTCTGAACATTTTTCTAATTCGTCAAACCGCCCCTCGATTATCAAATCATCCAAAATATTAAATGCAAAATCACAAACATATAGAAGTGGAAAATGGGGAATTATACAAATGGGTAATGATGATGCAGGATAGAGCGTTGTCGAAGTCACCGGATTTAGAGATGAGAGAGAAATCGGGGTATCGGCGGTGATCGAGATAACCCATGTGCATACCACAGTCAAACATTATCCTCTTCCCATTGATCGAAACCACCACGCAGCTCTTCCCCACTTCTTGCCCTGCGCCTGAGAAAAAAACAATACCGCCAATATCATCGTCGGCACAGCAAACACAAAGATGTTCATAATAAATCAACAGAACGATTGGGACAGAGAAAGAGATGTACCGAGGACGAGACATTCGATTACCATTGTCAAAACCCTAGAAGAAATGCCTATTAGACTTGGCGCGCTTTCATCTGATTGATTTGAGAATTTGGTTGGAAAAAAAATAATAATAATAATATATAATCAAAAATAAAAAGATAA